CTAATTTTTCTATTTTTAATAGAGATGGGATCTTTAGGCTAGTCTCAAACTTCTGACCTCAAGTGATCCTTCCGCCTCAGCCTCCCAGAATCCCAAGATTCCAGATATGACCCACCCACCATACTTGGTCTCCTTCGTTTCCATTTTTAAATTTTTCAAAATTTATTTTAGATTCTTGGCTTAAGCTGGTTTGATTGGGTTTCTGGCACTTGCAACCCTAAGATGGTTGGCTGATATACCTATCAACAGATGCGTATAGGTGTTTTCTTTTTAACATGCTTAGTGAATTCTCCTTCACACATCCATTTACCATGTGCCAGGCAAAATTCTGTGTACAAACAGATGTGTCAGCCTGGGTTTGGTTTCCTGGGGTTATATTTTATGGTGGTTCCATACAGTGCAAAGCCCTATATGTGAACCAACGTGTGCATCATTTCCAGCCCCATCCTCTCCAGTTCCTCATCAAACGACAGGGTGTGAATACAGGAACTTATGCCTAGGAATTTATCTCTCAATGATACTAACAAAATAACATAGTCTACTTATACACTGCCCTTCCAGATGATATCAGTTCATGTTATTAGATAGTGGGCTCAATTTTTTTAAACATCTTGTTTCATTTTGCTTTCACAACAACCCTCTGAGGTGCATTTTGTTATCTCCTTTTTACAAATAAAAGTCTGAAGCTCAGGAAGTTTATGTGACTCGCTGAATCTACAACCAATCTGTCTAAATCCAGGTGGAGGTATCTTTTTTGTTTTACTTAATACAATGTTTTTGTTGTTGAGACAGAATTTCACTCTGTTGCCCTGGCTAGACTGCAGTGCATCATCACAGCTCACAGCAACCTCAAATTCCTGGGCTTAAGTGATCCTCTTGCCTCAACCTCTTGAGTAGCTGGGACTACAGGTGCACACCACAATGCCCCACTTACTTTTTCCATTTCTAGTAGAGATAGGTGTCTCACTCTGGCTTAGCCTGGTCTTGGACTCCTGAGCTCAGGCAGTCCTCCTGCCTTGACCTCCCCAAGTGCTGGGATTACAGGTGTGAGCCACCACACTTGGCCTACAACTTCTTTTCTGTATGTCAGAGCCATAAATGCTGCTGACTTTGTCATAAAGCCCCTGCCTCTGTCTCATCTCCTCCTGTTCCTATATTAGTCTGCATGAACTGCCATAACAAAATGCCACAGACTAGGGGACTTAAACAGTAGCAATTTATTTTCCCACAACTTTGGAGGCTG